TAGCTACTTTCTGCATGTAACAAGCATCTAACATTCTCTAAAACCATTATTTAAAAACATTATTAAATTCATGCTAGTCCTTCCCAAAGAAGTAAAAAGTAAAAAAAAAAATCTGAGGCATAATGTGCTTTTAAGCAATGCTCATATATGGCTAAATACATTGAATAGAGTTTTGTATTTCAATTAAAGAAAATTTTCAAAATGTGTATAGACTGAATAGTAAACAGTACAGACCATGATCAGGCGACACAGACTGAATGATCTCGGTCCGCACTGGTCGTATTTATAGATCCAAGCTAATTGTTAATCAAACCCTTGCAGTGAATCGGGCCTTTTTTGTTATATAAAGCATCCATTTATGGTATATGAAGAGTTGTATTAGTTGTTTTGACAGGGCAGACACTAATGTGTACTATTTTAGGATCGATGTCATCAATTTAATCATTCATTCTTTCAGATGATTTACCAAATTATTTCTACAAACAAATAAACAAATACAATGGTCAGGCAATTATTAAGAAAGGAGACAAACATGTTTGTATTGTTTCATCTTAACATTTGAAATGCTTAAAACTAAAAAGGCACATTATGCCTTAGAAATCTTTAGTTGATAACATTTGAACATAACATCATAAAAGCAAAATGTAACCAAAGTAGTACTTTGATTTTCATACAAAATACTAAATCATTTAAACTGTACTAAATGCCAAAAACAAAAGAAGTAAAAGATGGTTCAGATGTATGACATGTAAGTAGCTTTTTGGAAACTGTAACAAGACACCAAAAATGTATCGCTGGGACAATGGGCTTCTAAAGAAAAGCAGTGCTTAATATGAAATAACTTGTAAGAAACCTTAACAAAGTGGCTTTTGACTTCCCTACAAAATACGTGGTCATTTTTAATGTATAAATTGCCGAAAAGCAAATTGATGGCCCAGCTATTTGGACAAACTAGTATCTTTTCTGAAACTGTAGCAGGTCAACAAAAGTAATTATTTGGGGAAAAAATCGTTTTGGGCCTAACGGGCCTTTAATATTCTCCTTTTGTCTAAGTTAATCCGTATCGTCAGAACTCGCTCAAAATTATAAGCAGGACGCCTTTGACAAATGCAAATATATTGACATTACATAGAGGATCTGAGTATGCTTAGAAGGACAGCAAGCTAATTTCCGTTGCTACAAAATCTGTCATGTTTAACAAGGGATTTTTAAAAATTTATTCATAGATTAGTGCCACGTAACAAGGAAACATTTTTATCGAGGGCGTTGTTTTTGAAAACAAATATATTTTTCGCTTGTAAAACATCAAATGTAAAAAAAGTTTGAAAAAAAGTTATTTGTAAAAATTTTAAAGTGATACTGTACTATTTTTGTGCTTAATGGATATAGCAGTTCTTAAGGTCAGATATTTTTTGTACATTCAATTTAGTTTTCTTTTTTCAGGAATAAGTTGTGCATATGATTTCATTTTAAATTCTTTTAACTATTTAATCGTCATACCAATATTTACATTTGTATATAATATTTACCTTATAGCTAGCGTACAATGAAGTTAAAGGTCGCCCATTATACCTCAGAAATGTTTTTATTTTCATTTTTAAAGCCTTTTATTCTTAATGTCCGGTTATGTTTTCAAAAAAAAAATCTAATTTGTCAATTACCTGATCTATCTTCTTCTGTTGCTTTATCGCATTAAGTACAGTTATAGTGAATTAGTATTTTGTATGGAAATAATTTGCTATTTTTGTGACCCAAATTTCACATTCAACACTACTTTCTTCACTGAATATGCTCTTTAACCATCACTTAAATAGAGGATATTGAATGAGTGTTAGATCCATACTGAATTTATTGCACGACTTGAATAAAATTATATTATGCAAGCCTCTGGCGAGCATAATATTATTTTATTTAACGAGTGCAATAAATTCAGTAATGAACTTACACGAATTTGATATTCTATTTATCACAAACCCAAAATAAAGACCGTTTAAAATGAAATAAGAGTCATTTTTCATTGACGCGCCAATATTATAACGCTAACATTTTGCGCTCTTTACACTATTATATATGTTTGTATAACACTAATGACGTCACGTCAAAATATATGCACGTCCGGGTAATACTATATTTACTGAGTCGCAAAATCGGCACGGGTGTGTGATTAACATTATAAAACTCATATTTGCCCTTTTTACAGAAGGAAATATTAATTCGTTTCTCAAGCATAATGTCTCTTTAAACTCCAAAGATTTAGACTGATATGAATAAAGCCGGTTTGTTAGAAAAAAAGCATGTAATTTGTATATCACTTAGCAATATAATTACAATATAATTATTGTACCTGTTATAATTTACAGAATACTCATGACATTGAAACCTCTTTGTTGGGTACGTTCTATATATGTAAACAGCAATTTGTAAATAGAAATTGTCCCGACAAACTAATTGTGCTTTCCTTGAGTAAATCACCTTATCTCAAGACAGATTTCTAACAATTCATTGAACTTTTTAATATTCCCGTGATATTGTTTTTCCCCAAAAATGACTGTTAAATTTCCTCAACTATAATTTAAACGGGCAAAATAGAAAAAAATTGGATAAAGCCCAAAGCTCGAGGCGCGGGCTCCTAAAATTAATCAATTTTAAAAAGCTGGTCGGTAATAAACGAAATACCAGACACTCAGTTATCCACATAGTCGACGGAAAGTCGTTTTTTCATATTTAAGCAACATTTTTTAAATGGCATAATCTTATATGGTTAACATAGATGATTTGGTATCATGGCAAAATTAAAATGTGTAAAACACTGTTGAAATGAATATTTCAATATCTAAATGAAAAAAAGGGGAAATAAAACTAAAATTGTCTTGAGGTTATGCTTATACAGTATTCTTTTTAAAGCAACTGATGTTGTGGATCTTACAATATTTGCATGAAAAGTTGTCATTGAAACTGTATCTCTAAAGAGATTGCAAATTTAGAGATAAAATCTGACAAACCATAAACATTTGCTTGTTAAAATTTTTAAATTTTCCGGGTTTTTTTATTTTTCTTCGCTTTTAACCAAAAATGATTAACGGGGCATCTTTTTATTTTCTATTGCAATTTATGAATAAAGAATTTTAAAAAGGTTGTGTTTTTCTGATTTAGGGATTTTTTTGAAAATTTTAAATTTAAAATTTTTTTTATGGAAAACGAACAATGTAACTACTTTTTATTTGCCGCAAAAAAGCGGTGTTTTTACTTTTTGGGCTTTAAAAATTGTTTTTTAATTTTTGCAATATTTAAAGTTTTTTCAATTCGGAAAAAAGGGGACCCCTAGGGCCCTTTTTAAAAAAGTAAAAAAACATTTAAAAATTTTAGACGCGGATTGAAACTGTACATTTAGGAAAAATGGAAAAAAAACCCAAAACCCCTTTACGCACCCCCGCATTTGCTTGAGCGAAAACTCATTTTAACACTTTAAAAATTTTCCCCCTGAAACCAGAAGGGCCCGAAAAAATAACAAAACTGTAAACACGAAAATAATTGGGAAAAAAATTCCCTCTGTTTTTAACCAATTTTTTTAAAAATAAAAACCCCATGTTTTCTTTTTAAATCAATGAAACTACAAAAATTATCCCTTTAATTAATTATGTTAAATGTTAAATTAATTTTAACAAAAATATTATCTATATCCGTATGTAAAAATAACAAGGGTAAATATTCATATATCATTTGGCCTTTCCAAATGCACTCACAGGATCGTTCAAACAATGAAACGGATACACACTTCTAACAAAACAAGAGCTGAAACTTTTGCTAAAACTATATGGTTCTGTTTCATCTGATTAAATTAAGCTGAAATATCTTTAAATGATAGTGTCTAAACTAATTGGTATAGTAATTGCAAAGTAATTACACTGTAAATGAAACCTATTCAATGTCTGAAGTGGCTATCCTGTTTTGTTTTACTATAAAAATAAACATTGCGATCAGGTGGCCATGGCAAATTAAAGAACACAAATCATGTAGTCATATGATTTGATACTTTAGCAATATGTTATAAATCAAGCACTTAAGACATATGAAATTCATCACCACATGTTAAGTTCGAAACTGCGTTTTAACTCTAAAGATACCACTCTTTTGTACCGTTTTTTCATTTTCAAAAAAAGATAAAAAAAAGTTTTTTTTGTGTGATTATGAAACAAAATAAAACGGAGACGACAACAATCCAATGAAACTGTTCTTAGACTTTAAGATCGTGTGCTTGGGAAAACAATCTTTAGCACGATTTTCACATTGGATAAGATAAATGTTATATAGGTCATATGTCCAATGCAATTTTATAATATGAATATAGAAAAAAGGTACGTTTTGTGACATAATAACTTGAGACTGGAACTAGCAATAACGTTCCATTCCGGTAATTTCTTTTTTAAATATAATATATTCTGTTTAACACGCTGTTCTTTGTTCAGATGTTTAGCAACAATGAGACTGTTATGCTTATTTAGTGCATTAAATATGCAACACAAGTGATTATCCCCAAAGAATAACGATTGTAATTATCTCGTACAATCAATCTTGTAACCTTTTTAGATAAAATAAAAACTTTGTTTTACTTTTAATTTTTTTTTTTCTACTTTCACTTCAATTACTATTTGTCAATAAAAGTTTATCTAATCATTGATTTAAACGTTTATTACAAAACGTTGCAATTTTTCTCTTTCAAAACAAAACGGGCGCAAAAAAAAAATTGACTTCAAAAACAAAAAAATGTTTCAACATACGAAAAAAAAATTTTGGGAAATTTTTTTTCTTTTTTCTTTTTTTTTTTTAATTTTTATAAAATTTTACGAAGGGTTGCAAGCGCTCTTTGAGTTGGGGGACACATTTCTATTTCTCTCACATTTAAGATGCTGCTCGCTTTATTTTCAAACCTTTTATAGGATTAGATCAGATTTGTTTGTATAACTAACAAAATAATATTGTTCTTCTCTTCTTTTTTGCAGACAGATAATGACAACTGCAAGTAAAGTTTGTTTGTTAATGATAGTCGCTTGTTTATGTCTATCACAATACATACAAGCAACATACATAGACTGTTCCATGGAGTGCTTGTTTGCCGCCTTCCGAGAGCCAACAGTTTGTGAATGCAAAAACTCTAGAAAACTTCATTGGGGAAAAAGAGCGCCAAGAAATAAACCACACAGATTACCGACGTTTCGGTATGGAAAACGGGCTGTTTCATTTTCAAATTCGGACTTAGACCAAGACAGGTAAATATATTATATATAAAAGAAACCTGAAATAAATTGAAACAATAACGATAATGAAAGCTATTTTAGAAAAATTAACAAAAATCATTTATTTATTCCTTGCTTTTTAACCAAATATCAAAAAAAGAATATATATATTAATGATATCAAAAATGTTTCCAAATAGACTGTATTCGAATTGAAAGGGAATTAATTATGAACGCTGTAATTCTATTCTGTAATGGCCGTGCTTTTGTGACAGCGACAGCATTGTTTGAGTTGATTTATATGCAGAAGTTAAATGTTTTTTTGTTTAAATTGGTATTTCATAAATATTTGCGGTAAAGATATGTATTGCCGAGTATCTGGTCACATAATTATTGAGAAAAAAAAATCTTACATTATGTTTTCCAAAGAAAACATGCGTATACTTTAAAGGTATTTTAAATCTTTTTTTTTTGTGCTATTTCAAATATCCACGCAGTTACTAAACATATATGTTATCTTTTAATGTAATCACAATGACATACCTCATACAATGTCATATCAATTGACGACAAATATTTAATCCATTAACAAAACTGATTTAACAACAATTAATGAAAATTCACCTTGTGTGAATAATCTGTTTCGAATGGCGGTTTAGTTACTTTCACTTTTGATTAATTCGTCCTGTCGAACAGCAGATTAATTAAGAAATTTGACAAATCAATGTATCAACGTCTAAATGCTGATAATGCACGGAAAAGCTTTTTTAAAGTCATATCTTTTATTAAACAACATTATGACGTCATAAAAACTTAATAATATTTATGCCTACTTGTCGAATGACTGTAATTCATATATTGATTTTCGTATATATGACAATTTGTCCGGGAAATTAGGATGGTGAAGTAGCTAATTGCTTAAATTTGAACATTTTATTACATTAAACATTTAGATGTAAACTATTGCGGTCCAAAAGAGCCCAAATATAAAATTTATAAGTCTTATACATACATAAACAGGACTGGGGCGCTTGAAGCCGAAAAATATGGAAAAGGTAAAGAAATATAAATTCAATTAAAAATCAAGATTTGACTGATTCTTAGCCCGATTTTAATTTCTAGGTCGTTTTGCAAAAGAAACAAATAACAATCTGAAAAATAATTAAATAAATAAACCCCTGAGGGAGCGAATGGTCTGAAATGTTGCACACAAGTTACAAATGCGTTGTTGTAGACTTGCATCAAATGGTATAAAGATTATTTTAGCCAAACCATCATGTTTAAAACCCTCCAATTAATTTTCCTCTAAACCTTTTTAAACTGGGTTAGTGTTGAGGGTGAAAGGTATTTTGGGGAACATTCATAAATCAAGTGCGCCTTTTAAAGACTATCTGCAATGGAATAAAACTTATATTAGGAAGCAGCTGCTAGGGAAATGACACAATTTTAATCATAAGTGTATCAATAAAGACACAAATATGATGAAAAAAATGCGCCGATTAAAATGTCAAAGTAAAGAGATAACGCTGAATGAATGCAAAAAAAATTGTTAACAACAAAATTAAAAATTGATAATGAATATTTTGATAAGAATTATTCATTTGAGAGCAATACCAAGCAAGACAGCACCCGAAAAACATTTATATAACATCTAAAGGCGTTACAGTACTAAATACTTTTTAAATACATTAAAGTAACATTTTGCTCATTTTTTTTCATTGTCTAGTTGAGCTGAATTGAAGATTGACTGACTGTTATATTGGAAATTGTTTAAAATAAATTTTAGATATGATATAAATATTCTTCAAGTATAAAAAGACTGCCCCCACTCATTTTATAAATTGAGCGTTTCAGGTAAATTCCGATGGATATTTACAGAAATGTCCCTTGGGTTACATCAGTTATTTATCGTTCATTGAAAAAGTTAATGGAATTATGACAAATACAAATTTATTTTAAACTTTCACCAGTTCACTCACTAAATACCCTTGAAATGGCATAATGTCACTTCAAGAACAAGGATACGCATACCCTCTTAACCGCATGTTTTTTACAAAAGTTTGATTAAAGTTATTGACCATCTTTGAATATTCAAATCTCGAGTTCCAAACGTTAAACATGTATGTTATAAAACGACTGTATGTAATTGTATGTCTATTAGCTTATAAAAGATTGTTCAATCTGTATTTTGAATCTTTATACCGGTATAACAGGAATATTGCGGTACATGGCGATCAAATGGAAATATTAAGACCACATGAAAGTCCAGCATAAACCTTTTCACAGTCATGTAAAATAAATCTGTTCATTTGAAATGAAACGAAAATGATGACGATATAAATTGACATTGAAATATTGTTTTACAAATATTTATAGATATTTTTCAAATATTTGCGATTTTTTTAAATATAAATTCTACAGTAGATACATTTTATTTTGATATGCTTAATAGAATGTCAAAGATATGTTGATATATTAAAACACGTGTTTCGGTGACAAATGTACTATATATTGTTCCAACAATTTAAAAACCACACATTCCTGCGAAATGTCATCTAAACCGGCGGCTACTGTTGACATACATACTAGATTCCATTCATTTTAAACACTGATGAATTAAAGCAGCATGTTTCATAGATTCATGTTAACTCAAAAGTTAGACCAAAATTATCTCCCAATAAAATAATGGTGATAAATACTGCAAAATCAGTCAGTGATCGCACATAAAATGTATATTATTACTTGAATCTTGAATCATGTTACCTTTTTAAAGGCCCATTATGCCCCTGATATGTTTTTATTTAATTTTTCAAAAACTTTATATTTTTGGTGACCTGTTATATTTTCCAGAAAGTTACTAATTGGCCATTTATCTTAACCATATTTTGCTTTGGAAATTAATAAAATTAAAGCGATTAAGTATTTTGTATGGAAGTCAAAATACTACTTTGTTTACATTTTCCTACTTTTGTGAAAAATAATTTCGATTTCAGCATTCCTTTCTTCAGATGATAAACAACTTGCATGCTTTAAAATATTTTTTAATAGTAATTTCACTTATATTTGCACTTTATAAAGAAGTGACCATTATATCTGAGGTGTTTCTTTTCGTTTAATCAAGTCTGTTTTGTAAGCCGTTTTATTCTTCTCGTGAAGTGAGGCAATAGTTTTCAGCTTCTAACTGTGTTATACAATGTTAACAAAAAATCAATGTTAAGACTCTGCTAAAAACAATAAAATATAAAATGAAAAAAAAAAGAAGAAGAAAATACGAAACTGTTAAAATTTATGAGGCTTTGCAACATTTTTCTTTTGTTTTTCAATGGTTTGACTTTATTTGTCCTTTTTGTTGCTTATCACGCTGTAACTTCCCAGTTTTATTTGATGTGTGTTAAGTACCTTCCACTCCTAACTGAATCATTATCTAGAAATATCGTGACCGTCGTATTTAAATCAGCTTAGTATTGGCGTCCATATGCTTCAAGTGCCAAGAAACGAGTTGTTATCGTGCCATTGCGATACGATGTGACCGATTATATCCAACGCTCGATGCCACGGATAAATGTTTGCCGTACTATTTTCACTGTCCGTTTGTTTGTGACGGATCACGGCTTTTCACTATTATTCTAATCGATTTACACACAGATAAATTAATGGATTGTAAACGCGACATATTTGGGCAGTAAACGTTATGATACATTTAAGATAGCGACGTACATGATAACTCCATTATTCCAGTTCGTATTGCATGCACTTTATTACATAAGTATGGTAATTCGTAAAAGATACAATCGTTTGATTTTACAGCGTCTCTGATGTTAAGTGCAACACGAACATGATTGTTTGAATGTCGTTGTAGTCTCGGAATTAACAGATACAGATACGGTGTATATAATTGAATATTGCTTTCCTTAAAGACAAGGATAAGTGGATACAAGCATAGTTATATGTAAACTGCAAACATGAAACGACTTTTGTATAGATAACAAAGTATTGTACAAGATTTTAAGGGTTGTTTTCTATCCTCGATTTAATCACTATTTTTTCTTTAAAAAGACAAAAAGAATCAAATCAGGCGTAAAAAGAATATTTTAGGTAAAGTTGGTAACCTTTTAGATACAATCACAATTACACAAAGATTTATACGACGTGTTTTCATATATAAAAATAAAAGCATTTCTAAGATGTAATGGGAGTCAAGCTTGTTTTGTGAGCATTATATCTGAGGTGTTACTTTTCGTTTAGTCAAGTATTTTTGGAAGCCGTTTAATTAACGTGCTTTGTTCTAGTGAAGTAAGCCAATGGTGTTCAGCTTCTTACTGTATTATACAATGTCAACAAAAAATTAATGTTAACACTCTGCTAAAAACAATTAAAGATAAAATGAAAAAAAAGAAGACAATACGAAACTGTTTAAATTTATGAGGCTTTGCAACTTTGCAACATGTTTCTTTTGTTTTTCAATAGTTTGACTTTATTTGTCCTTTTTGTTGCTTATCTCGCTGTAACTTCCCAGTTTTATTTGAAGTGTGTTAAGTACCTTCCACTCCTAACTGAATCATTATCTAGGAATATCGTGACCGTCGTATTTAAATCAGCTTAGTATTGGCGTCCATATGCTTCAAGTGCCAAGAAAACGAGTTGTTATCGTGCCATTGCGATACGATGTGACCGATTATATCCAACGCTCGATGCCACGGATAAATGTTTGCCGTACTATTTTCACTGTCCGTTTGTTTGTGACGGATCACGGCTTTTCACTATTATCCTAATCGATTTACACACAGAAAAATTAATGGATTGTAAACGCGACATATTTGGGCAGTAAACGTTATGATACATTTAAGATAGCGACGTACATGATAACTCCATTATTCCAGTTCGTATTGCATGCACTTTATTACATAAGTATGGTAATTCGTAAAAGATACAATCGTTTGATTTTACAGCGTCTCTGATGTTAAGTGCAACACGAACATGATTGTTTGAATGTCGTTGTAGTCTCGGAATTAACAGATACAGATACGGCGTATATAATTGAATATTGCTTTCCTTAAAGACAAGGATAAGTGGATACAAGCATAGTTATATGTAAACTGCAAACATGAAACGACTTTCGTATAGATAACAAAGTATTACAAGATTTTAAGGGTTGTTTCTATCCTCGATTTAATCACTATTTTTTCTTTAAAAGACAAAAAGAATCAAATCAGGCTTAAAAAGAATATTTTAGGTAAAATAAATGTCACTGTTCAGAAGTGTTCACTTTTTATTTTCTCACCATTTGACATAAATTTGACTATACTCATTGTCTATAATATTCTAATTTTTTTGAATACTTTTTTTAATTGAGCAGTAACTATCTAAACACATCTCTAAAATCATCTTCTTCACATAGAAATTCGATACGAAGCCAATTTTAAAGACCATTTAATATTGAATTTGAGTAATAAAATTTTTATAATTTGTGCAAGTTTGAGGAGACCAAAATACAAAAACCATAAGGTTTCTTTTATCTTTGAAATAGTCAGTAACCCAATTAATTGTTAGACACTGAGGTTCAAAAGCCTAAAAACATAACATTTGAATTTCTTACATAAATGAGCTGGGGCGCTTTAAACAGAAATACATGCAAAGATAGTAAAGAAATATACTTTGAAATAATTGAAAATCGTATTTTTTATGCTTTTCTAAGCCCCATTTGAGTGAAAATGTTTAAACGCTTTTCATTTTGGGTCATTTTTTTACAATTTGAATAATTATTCTGGAAAAACAAAGTGCGCGAATGATTTGAAATTTTGCACAAAGATTAAAGGTCTAAACTTACATCAAATGGTACATTTATCTGGAAAAAATAAATTCAGTCCCATCATGTCAAAATATCTCAATGGAGTGCCTTTAAGACCAGGTCAATCATTTAGTACAATGCAACAAGGTGATATGAGAAACGAGTTAAAAAATAAGTTTAATACATAGTTTAAACCAGGTACTGTTAAGGATTCTTTATAAAAAAAATGTGTATTAAGAAATAGCTTCAATTAATACTTTTGCAGACCCATCATGAAAAAATGTTTGAAGTCAGTAAATTTTAAGCTTATATATCACGATGCCATCAATTAACATAGAAGATACTTGATTGTTTTGCATTTAAGTGTCAAATACATTTCACTGAGTGAAAATCAGATGCAATATTTTCACGAGTGGCTTAGCCACGAGTGAAAATAGAATAGCTGGTGTTCACGAATGCAAGCGTTGCAAAGCCTTTTACTCAAATCTGACTTGGAATAGTCAATTTATTTCTGAGTATATTTTGTAATTATCTTTGCATATCTTTCTGTTTTGAGTTCCTCATTTGATCTACGTTAGAAATCTAATTTTTATGTTTTTTTAGGCTTTTGCACATCATTTGAGTTCCTTAATCTAACTCACCCTTTTATTATTTATATTTTTCAGATTAAAAACGTTACGGTCAATCCAAGATACGTTACTCTCGGGAGAGGTCTCGCCATATGATTATGACGTATGAACAACAACAATGGTGCCACCTGCCACATTCTAAAAGAGAGTGATGGACAATAAAATAAAATAAACGTCAATTCATTTTTGAAGACAAAAGGTCTTTTCATTAGGACATCATATCTTTCAATATATATGTATATATATAAATCAAATTTTAGACCAAACCTTATAAGTTCTCGTGCTTTTTTGGCAGTGAATTGTGTAATAAAAAATATAAATCTTTAAAGAAAAATTTACTTTAGTGTATTTCAAACGATAAGCAAAAAAAATGTGAAAGTTTCTTTTACATTTGATAGTAAAAACTGATTTTGATAATATTTGTTTTAACAAGTATTATCTTTATTTGAAATTGATGTAAGATTTCTTTTGTTAACTTGCACATATCATCATGCATAACACGATACTGTACTGTATGGATGCATACACCCACTGGACACCGTTTTCCTATTAATTTCAGATACTTACTATTAATAACGGATACTGAAATGTCTGTTTTTACCTACATTAAGTTTTAAGTTAATATAGGTGAAAAAAGGAAAGAAAAACGTTTCAAAAATTTTCAAATTGATGTGCATAGTTCTTACGGTCATGCAATATGCATTTGTCTCTATTTATATCAATAATTTAAAAAATAATCTATATGTATATATTTTGAATTCTTTAATTTATAAGTAAAGTTGATGTTCATTATGTAACAATGAAAACTATTCAAAACATGTTTTTGTTTCAACTTTTTTTGTCGTTTGCTGAACATCTCTACTTTTGGTTTTATATTTTCCCTTGTAAATCAAACATTTGATCTGCAAATAATAAATTTGTAGAAATAAATGTTGATTCAAACAAATAATTGATAGAAAAAAAAGCTGTTCAAAAATAAAATGAAACTGAAATAAAATGTGTTCCGTTGCAATCAAGACATACATTGTGGAGACCACAATAACATTGAGTTATACAAATAATAACCACTTTATTCTATTTTTCTCCATATCCGGTTTTAGTCTGTACTTTCCGCTATTTAATTAAATATCTCTTTCCGATGTTCCAATTGTCCTTTCCGCTTTATATTGAACAATTATTTAATGTCTCGTTTATACTGTACAGATGGTAATTACAATCAAAGGGAAACGATTCAATACCAATACTTCTTATAACTGATCAGTATTACTTCAGAACTCTATCTTATCATCTTCCAAGGCGGCGCCCCACTGTGTTCCTCAGATGTATGTCTATGTTGTTTCATACTGTTTTGGTGACACTTTTGCTTGTGTCCCTTGTTGTTTTCTCGTCTACGGTAAGTATCTTCCCCATTGCCTCTAGTGTTTATTTCTTTGATTAACCCCCCCCCCCCCTTCCCCCGGTCTCCTGTCCCCTTCCCCTTTGTGGGCCTATTATTATTTTCTTTGAATTCCTAATCAGTTACAAATTATTTATCATTTAATGATTAACGTGTCGTTGCCCTGTCCTTTTTATGTTTGGGGTCCGCCTGGGCTCCTTGCCATTGGTTCTTGTTGCTGGGTCATATGGGGGTTGCGTTCATTGAACGCCGCCTTTCCTTGTTGATCTTGTTTTTCATATTTGATTGATATTAAATTACATAGAAATTATGTTCCGAAAGAAAATATCTGACATAATAAATACTACATTCCATAGCATAAAATGCATTTCCGAAAATTCTTTTTTATTAGATTTTACGTAGCGCCAAAACACAATATAGTAATCTGGAAACAAAATGATCCCTCGAACGCATTAATGACAACAAAATTACACGAAAATTGCAGACTCGGTTTGTGGAGGAAGACCTCTGTTGCCACTCTGTACATTATTGCAGACACAAACGGGACCCTGAGTAGAACCACCGACGTACCGTTGCTTTCTCACATGTAAAAATCAAACGATGCTTAAACGGCTCGAACCTTAAGCGGTGACATGTTAGTGGTTTCAATGAAATGGTAACATTTTGAGTTCTACGTGTTCTATATTTACATATTGTGTTTTTCTCTCTGAAAAGCATACTTTTTCGCAGCTAAAAGTACATTTATATCAATGCGATTGCGAAATTCATATAGAAAAAAAGAATCCCCATAGAACGCCCTAAACGGCAAAATTGAAAATGTCGCAGGCTCGGTTTGATTGATCCGTACTAGAAAGTTTTTACATTTTGTATCAAATTGATATCTGATGATATTCACTGATAATGGTACGTTGTTTTTAAACAAATACACGAAACTAGAAAAAAAAACCCAGAAAAAGGCTTTATTTCATGCAATTAGAATTATAGAAAGGTTATATTTTGTTGTTTCAAAAGGGGCATCGTATTACTGCTAAGACTTCTTCAAAACAACGTCTCGAGAGCTATTTATAACGCCAACGCACCAGTGACGTTGATTCTAAATATAGAAATCTGGAAACAAAGTGATCCCTCGGACGGAAGCAATATTCACAAAGAAATTATATGAAAATTGCAGACTCGGTTTGATTGAGTCTATACATGAGGGATAATGAATTAGTGCACCTCACGCCCGATAGCACCGGCTTGATTCTTAACACTTAATAGTGCTGGCATCAATGATTAAAATATAACAACACTGAAATGAGGTACGGGGCAACTTTTTACAGCTGCCACACAGCACTTGACACCTGCTGTTGTGAAGTATAAAAATCTGGACACAAATGTCGGGAAACGTATCGGCCGCTTTACTTATTTAAATATAGAGAGCGGACAAGTAGATCGAGGGGTTTCCTTATTGTTTATATATTTTGTCGTCGGCAAATTTGATCTATTGATTTGACAATTATATGAAACGAATTATCTAAAAATAACGTATTTAACTTTTAGAAAAGCTGAAGGCCGCTTTAAACCACGGAAAGTTCCTCATTACATGTAAATATGGAAAAACAGCAGTAACGTTATTTGTCTCCATGGCGATTAAATGTGTTTTTTGTTTTCTTAATAAGGATCTATAATGTATCGCCTTTGATAAGATAATTGTTGCAGCCAACATTTATTAGAAGAATTCCTTCATGCATTCATGGTGGCTTCATATGTGAATACACATTTAAGTTTTTTTCTATAGAATGTATGCTTTAAGAGCTTAATAAATAAAACATTTTCAATAGCACTTCTAATCCATTAGACTCTGTAGAATCATTTAAACAGTTTGTTAAATCAAATGTCAAGAAATGTCTCTAAAAATAATGTTGTTATATTTTATCATCAATAACTTATTTGACACTATTGTGTAATCAAGATCATTAATGTGACATGTCTTAGTTATTTGTGTATACCTTTTCCAAATCCTTTGTGTATACTTTTTCCACATCCTTTGACAAATTCACGATGAATGGCATGCGTGTCTGTCATAAGAGATTTTGTGTAACTGGCATTCACCTGAAATTAAACACATGTAACAAAAAATGAATTGCGTAGCAATATTTTGAGCATAACATAAATTTTAAATTTATTTCCTTTCCTTATCAAAGACATTTGCAATTACGATGAAGTATAAGAATTATAGTTACCTATTTCAATAATATTTTTTTGGTTGGTAAGATATTATTTAAACAATACGGAGGGGTCAATGAAAAACGTAATACTGTATTAAGAAGTCTAAGATATAACTTTTGTTAGAAAAGTATGGATAAAATCGGAAGTGACTACCAAAAGCTTAGTTAGATTGAAATAGAAGAAAAAGAAACCGTTAAAGAACGCCCAAAATGACACTACTGTAAATATTGCAAGCTCAATTTTACCTGTTCATGGACGGAAGTAGTAACTGTAATCTACCGTTCACGCCTCCTAGCACCGGTTGTTAAAACAAACAAACAAACAAATAAATAAATAAATATTTGAATATTCAATAGTGTTAATTTTAGAAATTTGAACATATCGCATTAAGGTTATACAGTGTATAAGTTGACATTGTAAAGTATCTGGAAAAAATGAAGATCCCTTGAAAGCATTGAAAATAACAAAATTGCAACATCGATCCCTCATGCTCCCTAGCACCGACATAATCGGTTTTTAAGCTTCAACATTTATTGTCCTTGCATAAATAATCACAAAGAACCAGAAAATAAAATGTTTCAACACTGAAGTGAAATACGAAATTTTTACAGCTGTCACACAGCAATTGACACTTGCTGTTGTGAAGCATAAAACTGTAGAAAATGGGATATCTCTTAGAAGCACTGAACACAACAACATTTCATGAAATTTGCAGACTCGATTAAACCGGGAAACGGACAAAAGCCCTCACGTACGTGTGTGAATATTCCTATGATTAAAAACAAAACGGATGTGGTAATAAATTGTGACTTTGTATTACATGCAACATGTACATTATTTCACACAAGCTTATATTTAACCAAAATGGTGAAAGTCATTCTAAGAAATTTAAAGAATAATTATGTACTCCATGTTCATTTAAAATAGTTGTTTTGTCGCTCTTCGAAGTTTAATATATGTGCAATGTACATTCATATTCATCCTTATACTCTTTTAGAGTTTGTAACATAATACAGGATTATTTAAAATAGTGAAAAAATAGAATCCCTAAAGAAAGCCAAACACTGCAAAATTGAACATGTTGCAGACTCGGTTTGATTCAGCCTGTGCATGGACGGCACTGTTAATAAGCAGAATTCAACATTAAAATTAACTGGCAAATTTTGAATTTTGAAACATCCGCAGATGTGTTCATGTGGCAGTTATCATGAACCTTCAACGAGACAATTTCTTGCCATTCCTTGAAAAGCGAATTAAAATAGAGAAAAACAGAATCCCTAAAGAAAGCCCAACACGGCAAAATTGAAAATGTTGCAGGCTCGGTTTGATTGAGACTGTTCATGGACGATACTGGAAAGTGCAAGTTACCGTCCACGCCCCCTAGCACCGGCTTAAGCTGAATTCAACATTTAACACGAACTGGTACAATTTGGAATTTTGAAACATCCGCAGATGTGTTCATATGACGGTTATCATTGAACCTTCAATGTGACACGTAAGTGCCATTCCATGAAAAGCGGCATATGGTCCCCAAGTAAAAAAAATGCGTGTGCCCTAAACGAGAAAACAATGGGCGGAACTAAATAAAATGGAATTTTGAAAGGGGATCATCTGAGGTTATGAAGCCTGCATATCACAGATAAGACGTCAAAATACAATTTAAAAAGCAGGCAACATATCCTAAGGGTGATTAGACAGTATTCAAGTTGGAATACTGGAACCACCCAAGTTGAAAAAAGCCAAATAGAAGAAACTATAAATACCACATAACTTGTATACACAACAATTATGTCGTGCTGAATTCAACCGTCACGTCACATCCGTTTTTCACTTTTCATTATTCAGTCAGAATTAATTGAATATTTTCCTTAAAATGACGTATGGTTTTGTCCAGATAAAAAGATGGACAAGTGCAATATAAATATTTAGCGTAGTAAGGGTTAAGGAATATTGGCCTCGTCAGATTTGCTTTTTAAACAGTCGAATTATTTTTTATACCGGGGGATTGATTGAATATTTAAGTTAAAGGCAGAAAGAATTATTTAGGAGGACTTTCAGCTTCATGTTTTGATCTATGTGTGAATGTTAAATGAAAAAGGATTATAGTTTTACATTAAAAAACTGAAACTCATCTTCATTATAACACAATAGAAGTTTTATGAGTTTATACTAAAAGCCAATTGTTGCTCTAATACTTCTCGAGTAACTTTAAGTAATAATTGAATTGAAATTCATCCTATCTCAATGACGAAATCTCTGCTTAAATTATGCGAAACATCAGATTTTGAAGTGCGATGAATATTGCTGTAACATATAAAGAATGGTAAAATTGAAGAAAAACTAAATTATTTGCGTAGGAAAGAATATTAAATATCAACTTCTAACTACAT